CTAGCATTACTTAATCGTCTCATTTGTTTTTCTTAGCCTTTATCGACTACTATGTCTACCTAGACATTTTTTTGTTTAACCATGCTGGTTTTTGTTATTCCTGTAATCACAGATTGCCTCACTTTTTTATCCTTATTAGTAATAATAGATTGTGTTTGAAACACTATTACCCACTAAATAATATTGTTCCACTCACTGTGTCACTGTGTATCCAATAAACAAATCAATATCGGATTACATACTACCTTAGTGTCTAAGGTTTTCGCATATGTTATCAAAATGATACATTCAGATAAGGATTACGCCAAAATATGAGGGCTAACAATAAATCGAATTTGTATGAACAGAAGGTGTGACGGCTTAATTTTATGAGTCCATATCATCATCATCATTGTATCCTTTAATTCCTACAGGAACATAGGGCTTCAGCCGTGCGTCTCCATTGCGTTCCGTTCTCTGCTAGAGTCTTCACCTGGCTCCATGTCTGCCCACACGTTTTCATCTCCTCTTCACATGACCTCCTCCAAGTCACCCAACCTCGCCCTGACGACCAACTCGCCGCTTCCCACTGCATTCGGGTTCCACTCGAGCAATGGCTTGTCTAGTGATGTCACTTGATGGCTTGTTTCCTCAGAGTATGGCCAATCCATCTCCATTTCTTCCTGCCTACTTGTTTCACAATCAGTTCCTGGTTGGTTCGCTCCCAGAGATCCTTGTTGCTGATCTTTTCTGACTGGCCATCTGATCTTGAGTATTGAGCGAAGACAACTGTTAATGAAGGTCTGTAGTTTGTTTGAGATGCTCTTTATGAAGCGCAGTTCAAGTCTCTGATCTCCGTATAGTGAGTAGCACTGACTTCACATTGGAGTTGAAAATCCGGATCTTACTTTTGATGCTGAGTGCTGTTGACCCCCACACAGACTTGAGAGTAGTGAAAGCTTGTCTTGCTTTTCCGATTCTTGCTTTGATATCCTCGTCAGTTCTGTCCTCCTGTAGTTGAAACGATGCTTCCCAGGTTGGTAGGTAGGTAAAAGAGGTTGTTTCTTTCAGATTCCTTCCATTTATGCTGATTGTTATCTGTTGTCATTGTTGTCGCTGTTATTGTTGACCAGGAATCTTCATCACATCTGTTTTCTCTATGTTCACCTGAAGTCCTCTCTTCTCTGGATGCTTCTTCTGCCAACTTGTTGCTTTTCGCTTGCATATCTTCCAGTTTGTCGGAAATCAGACCTATAATTGTTATCGGCGAAGTTCAGATCCTTCAAGTTTTTTGTGTGAGTCCATTTTATGCCTGTTTCCTCATTGCCCGCCACTGTTTGTCGCACTATCCAGTCTACTGCAATCAGGAAAATCATTGGTGATAGTAGGCAGCCAGCTTGTCTTACTCCTGTCCTCACTTCGAAGGATTCCATAAGTTTCCCGTTGTGGATTACTTGGCATGCAGCATTGTCGTACAGCTGTTGGATGAGATGTATAGTTGTCGGTGGCACCCGATAGTAGCGAAGTAGTTGCCCAATCACCTCTCCATCGATGCTGTCAAAGGCCTTTTCAAAGTCGATGAAGTTGAGATAGAGAGGTGACTGCCATTCCAGGCTTTGTTTAATGGTGATCCGTAATGTGGCGATCTGATCAATGCATGACTTGTTTCTCCTGAATCCAGCCTGTTCCAGTAGAAGTTTTTCATCCAGGTTGGCATGTTTGATTCTCTCCAGGATGATGCGGCTTAGTATTTTGCTTAGGATGGACAGGAACATAATTCCGCGCCAGTTCTTGCATTGACTTAAGTCTCCTTTCTTTGGTAGTTTGAATAAGTATCCTTTCTTCCAATCCTCAGGTACTTTGCCTTCTTTCCACACTTTCTCCAGTAGTGGCGTCATCAAGTCCGCTGTTGTCTCTGGGTCCGTTTTCAATGCTTCTGCTGGGATTCCATCTGGTTCTGCTGCTTTTCCAGCTTTCAGCATCTTGATTGCCTTCAGGACTTCTGATTTCGTCCATATCATCTCAGCATATTTTAGTATGCAGCCCTTACAATTTTTACACTCTTAAAAGCTGTTTTGGTAACATTCTTATGATTATGGCAATAATAACAGCTTCATTGTGGAAATTATATTTACTCACACACGCACACACACAATACAGCATTCTTGGCATAATTTCTTAAAAAATATTAACCACTGTCCGAACAGAATGTTTAAGGGAATTATTCATCGACAGTAGTATATCGCATAACGCAACACCATTTTATCTAGAACAAGCAACTCAAATTACTACATATTATATCATTATTATTGGGTTCCGAGTGGAATATAGGGCTTCAATAACACATCTCCACTTTCATCCATTTTCTGCCATCCCCTTCAGTTGGCTAGCCTCACGATTGCACATAATCTGTCATCCCCTCCTTCCCTCTCTACATGATCTCCTCCATGTCACCCTCGATGTGACGATCCATTGGTCGCTTCCCATTGGGATTCCACTTGATCAATGGCTTGCATTGGTCGCAATGTCATTCGAAGGCCTCCTCAACGGAAGCTAGATTCATCTCCACTTTCTCTAACATATTTGTTGAGCAATCGGCCCTCACTTGTTGGTTTCTTCGTCGCCAGAGTTTCTTGCTGCTACTTCTTTCTGGGCCGCTAGCCGACAATTTGATCTTCCGTATGGAGCGAAAGCAGCTGTTGATAAAAGTCTGCAACCTGTTGGAAATCCTTTACGTGACACACTGGCGAAGTTTCTAACCCATATAGAAGGACCGACTTCACATTGGTTTTGAACAGAATCTGAATCTTGTTCCTTATGCTGAGTGTAGAAGATTTCCAAACTGGTTTCAGGTTGATGAAAGCGTATCTATCTCTACAATATTTAGCTTTGTTTTACTTCTTGAAGTGTAGAGCAGTAGGCCGAAAGTCAACTAAAAATGTGCCTGAAATCATGTTCAATTCTAAAACCAAAAATGGATGATTGAAAGAGCAACAAGAAAAGAAGTAAAGTAGATGGATATATGCTGGAGAGAAATTTACATAGCCCAGAAGTCATATCATCAGTCAAGTGTTCATACTGTAAGCAAGCGTGATGCTCTCTGTTCTTTGTCAATGAGTTAAATAACTTGGTTACAGGATTTCATCATGAGCTAACATTGGTTAGAGAAACACTGGAAAATCAGTTGGGAGTACGGGGCAGCTGTTTCGTCCTAGTTTGGGACTCTTCATCAGTACGCAACCACCTCCAGGGTTCGAACCCAGGACCTTCTGGTAACAGGGCTACCAAGCTCGTAGACCTTTAGGCCACTGGGACCCGATCCAATGGCCTAACCAGTCCATGAATTCCAACTTCTGCCATTTCACAACAGCGCAACCCCTAGCCAACGTCTTTGGCGGGTAGTTGTCCACACACCCAACCCGCTGTAGCCTACTGGTCACAACTTCCCTCTAGAACCCTAGGTAATTACCCGACTGAATAGGGTCAGTCGCTAGTCAGCATCTCATTGATTTTCAAGTACTGTTTTGTGCGGATTCGATTGATCGGTTACAGAATTTCATTATGAGCTGACATCGGTTAGACGACCATGGGAAAACCAGCTGGGAGTACTGGACAGCCGTTTCGTCCCACTAATTTGAGACTCTTCACTGTACGCACCCACTGGGGTTCAAAGAGTTCAATTACTATTTCTAGTCATTTAGTTATATGTTCCTCCTTCTTAAATATGCAAGAAACGATTATTCCTCCCCACAAATATATGTGTATCTGAGCATAGGCACATGAATTTGTTATTTTCCCGAGTACTAAGATGTAAAACCAATCAATCAATTTCAGAATTTTTCATATTGTTTTATTTTATAATTAATGCTTTTCTTATTTATCACAAAGCAATAAAGTGACTAATTTGTCTGAATCGTGCGTGTAATGTATTTACCTGCAACACATTTCAACAATCTGATCAGACACACGGACTTGTCATAGAAATGAATATATATGAAATTAATAAAAAGTTAAGGGGTGAGAAAATAGACTACCTACCTAGGTCAAGTTAAAAGGCCACCATATCGAAGGTCAAAATAACAATGAAGATCAATCATCAAACCAAATAGCAGAGGTATTAGTACATCTACCCTAGCTGCTATCAAAACAAAGTTTACCAAGGAAGGTAGTTCAGTGTGATGACGAATTGTTGATTTGAACGCATAAAGGTGGTTTAAACTTCCTAATTGCCAGCTAGGGCTTCTTCAAACTTTACGATACGCCCCAAAACACATTTTATAGATAGGTTTGAAAGATGTGTTGACGTCAATTTTATGTCCTGTATCCTCTGTAATATATTTCGCAATAGAGGAGCTAGGTCTCCTGTTCTCACCATTAATGGGTTCTGAAGATTCTATTTGTTTCTGGAGCCATTTAGGAATATGCTCTGAAGTCAGCCCTTACTTGCAGAGATCGATGAGTCCTCCCAAAATATATGTGTTCATACGTACATTCCAATTGGTAAATACAGTGGGATGTGACATCATTTTTCGCATGTTCAAAGAGCTTGGATAGATATATTGGCTTCACATCCTCAGTTATTATGATATTAGCTGCATAAAAAGTCTTTTTAACCCCATTGTTCAGTCTTTGTCGAGTTACTAAGTTACTCAGCCATAGGGTAGTTTGATATATACATCTTTATTAGGGGTGGTTTGAAGAATGGATCTAGGTGTTCTGACTACTTTATACCTCCTAATGAACCTGTCTGTATCATTATTATTTTTGTGACAAACAGAGTTTGTGTCAACTTTCCTCCTTCCTCATCAGGTACGCCTTCAATGCATATTCACTGGATTCTCCTGAAGAGGCGTCTCGTTCACTAAGGCTCTTATGTACCAAACAGGGGACTGGCACTGTGATAATTAAGTTACTGTCCTTGTCCATATAGAATTATTTATTGGAATCATTCTTTTTTTCCTCTTTTTTTCTTTATCTAAGGTTTTACACCAGTAAAAAATATTAGTTGTGCACAATGTGAAATGAAAATAGAAGCAGATGGTAAGAAGAGTTTTGTTGAAACTGATATGTATCGACGTCGATGTGCTGATGAGCCGGAACTATTCTTTAAACCATGGTAAGTAAGCTCATTTACAATGATTATCATTATTACTATTATTATTATTTCATATTGCTGGAAGCGGAACATGAGGTTTCAATAGCTCATCCCCATTACAAACTTTTCTCTGAAGTTCTTTTTATTGGACTCCATGATCGCCTGTGTATACTTTCATCTCCTCCCCATCCATATCATCCTTGGAACCATACCCGACTTTTCGCTTTCCATTCATGTTCCATTCTAACGTATGTGACTCCTGGGGAATGACTTCACTCAACGGCCTCCTCAATGTGTCTCCTATGCATCTTCAGTTTCTTCTGCCATCTATTTCAGTCGAGAGGTACTTAAATGGTTCGTTCCCAGTCACAGTTCCTTGTTGCTAGTACTTTCTAGCCGGCCATCTGATCTTCCACATTATCAAGAGAAGGCAGCTGTTGATCGAAGTTTGCAGCAGGGTTTTTGGAAATTCTATTCATGATGTTCGTTATGCTAATTAGTACATCAGATTTCCATAGTGAACAAATAAACAAGGCGAAGTTCATTTACACTTTTCAAGATTTTTTTTTCAAAGATTGATTAATGAACAAACAATATTCTTAGTCATAACTTCTTCTTCATTAGATTTCAGAGTTATATACATCTATAATAATTCGATTCGTTTATTATTTTGTTTATAATTCCCTTGGATTCCGAGTGGAACAATCACCTTCAACAATACATCTCAGCTTTGTCCCATTTCCTGCTGTCCTCTTCAGCTTTCTAGCCCCACAATTGACCATAATCCCTAATCTCTTCCACTTCGCACGATCTCCCCCATGTCACCCTTGCGATGACGACCCACTCGAGCGATAGCCTGTTTCGCGCGCGATGTCATTCGACGGCCTCTCCAACATAAGCCCAATCAATCCATCTCCATTTTCTCCTACGTTTTTGTTGAGCGATCGGCTCTCGCTTGTCGGTTTGATCCACTGCAGAGGTTCTTGTTGCTAATCCTTCCTGTCTGACCGACCGGCTTTTTGATCTTCAGTATGGAGCCAGCCAGCGAAGGAGGCAGCAGCTGATAGGTGTCTGCAACCTGTTAAAAATCGTTTTCGTGACATGCTGGCCAAGTTTCTGACCTGTATAGAAGAACTGACTGACTTCACATCTGTGTTGAAAATCCTAATTCTGCTCTTTATACTGAGTGAGTCAAAGATTGTGTAGTCAAAATAGGAAGGTAGACTAAAGGCATCCAGTTATCGCGGCGAGGATGGACTGATAATCGCTTCTTTCTGAATAGTTGTTTCGGGTGACTTGAAGAGAGTTTGATTGTATTTCCTACTGGTAGTTTTAAAAGAGTTCAGGATTTCCACTGCATGTTCCATACGGACGAGACGCCCGACAATGGTAATATTGAAAGTATTCGTTCCTTTGAGACGTAGGCGTTTTGGTACATTTACTCGCTATCGCAGATGCATATGAATTTGTATGCATGGTTGGAGTCAACATATGAAAGTTATCTGTCAACGATTGCCAACGGGAAGCGAATCAGCTACAAGGCAGGCTGTGGCCAGTGACGTATTCAATCTTCTGTTGACTATTTCTGCGGTATATTTTCACCTGTGAATTAGAACTGTATGCAAATAGGCTTCTTTTCACAATAATTTGTTTATAAGATATATCACACACAGTGAATGAAACAGTATTATTTACTGGATGACACAGTTTCGAACGAAAACTTGGAGGATCTGGACTTCGCCGATGATATATGTCTGATTTCCCACAAACTGGAAGATATCCAAGTGAAAAGCAACAAGTTGGCAGGAGACGCATCAGAGATAGGACTTCAGGGGAACATAGAGAAAACAGAGGTGATGAAGATTCCTGGGCAACACCAACAGCCACAGCAACAACAACAACTGACAACAATCAGCATAAATGGGAGGAACCTGAAAGAAACAACCTCCTTTACATACCTACCGACCTGGGAAGCATCATTTCAACTACAGGCACACGGAACTGACGAGGACATCAAAGCAAGAATCGGAAAAGCAAGACAAGCTTTCACTACTCTCAAGTCTGTGTGGAGGTCAACAGCACTACCCAACATCAAAAATAAGATCCGGATTTTCAACTCCAATGTGAAGTCAGTCAGTGCTACTATACGGATGGATCAGAGACTTGCACTGCGCGTCATAAAGAGCATCTCAAACAAACTACAGACCTTCATTAACCACCAGGTGTCTTCGCTCAATACTCAAGATCAGATGGCCGACCAGAAAAGATCAGCAACAGAGATCTCTGGGAGCGAACCAACACAGCAGGAACCGATTGTGAAACAAATATGCAGGAGTAAATGAAGATGGATTGGCTGGCCATACTCTGAGGAAACCATCAAGTGAGTGACATCACTAGACAAGACATTGCTCGAGTGGAACCCGAAAGGGAAGCGGCGAGTTGGTCGCCAGTGCAAGGGTGAGGGTGACTTGGAGGAGGTCATGTGAAGAGGAGATGAAAACGTGTGGGCAGACTTGGAGCCAGGTGAAGACTCTAGGAAAGAACCGAACGCAATGGATACGCATGGCTGAAGCTCTATGTTCCTCTAGGAATTAAAGGAAACAATAATAATAATAAATACAGTTTCGAAAACAATTTAATGCTGCTCATAATCATATCACCATTTATAGCAACACAACTTCGAAATTCGAGTTTTGTAATTTTCTTTGTTCTCTCCTATTCATCGTCGTTGGGGTAGTAGAATTTTCCAGATATCCGTCTGAACAGGTGTTGAATCATTCCTCTTAAATGTATTCTCCTCAGTTGATTCGATAAACAAAGCTTATGTTATCAATCTCTCCCTCCACACAGCTGTTACATTAGCTTTTTTAAATATCATCTTATCCCAACCGTCCTATTGTATGGTTGTGTGAAATTACATGTGGTGTAGTGCTATAGCTGAACTATTCTCTAGATTTCTTATCTTATTTTAGTCAAGAAATCTAGAGAATAGTTCAGCTATAGCACTTCACCACATGCAATTACACACAACCAAGGAAACAATAGGATGAGATAGGATGACAGTTATAGAATCCAATGTCACAGAGTGGAGGGAGAGATTCATAACGGAAGCTTTGTTCATCGAATCAACTGCAAACACGTGCAGTAGGAATGATTCAACACCTGTCCACCCAGATATCTGGAAAATTCTACTAACCCAACGACGACAAATAAGAGAGGACAAAGGAAACTATAAAACTCAAGTTTCAAAGTCGTGTGATTATAATTGATGCTGTTATTATGAACAATAAATTTTGTTCAAAACCTTGTCATCCAGTAAATAATACTGTTTCACTGTGTGATACACCTAATAAACAAACTAATATTGAATTACTGACTATCACAGTCCCCAAGTTTTACACATATATTAATAGGTCTTCTTTTCCACTGAAATTCTATTTAACATCTTCTGTACTCATTTGTTTTTGTGTTTTTTTTTGTGTCATTCAAGTCCAATGAATGATAAGAATAAACCACGTGGATGTGGAAAACTCACTACTTATGTAAAAGAACCAGTTTCGAAAGGTCGTACAAGAGGTAAGTGAAACTATATGTATATTTCATTCAATTGAATTATTTATCAAAAGAAATAGTTTATTTATTTATTTAATTACAACTTTTACAGGTAGACTAAGTTTAGAAATAAGTACACACTATTTTCATTGTGATATTATCAGTGTTCTCCCAGGTTCCGAGTGACATAAATATATGGTTTGAACAACGTATCTCCTCTTCATTGATATAAGTATAAAACTCGGGCACTGTGGTGGAGTGTAACTCCATTATGGATAAGATTTTATTCTGATAAATCACACAGTGTTTGTAGTATAGTTATATTAACTGATGACCAAGTTTCGAGCACAAACTATTGCCACTGATAATCATATCAAGCTACTCACTCACACAACCTTCTTGCTTCATTTATATGCATGGATGAAAATTGATGATTAGACATTTGGATAAAATTAATATGAGATAAAGTACATCCAGAAATTATAATGTGAGTGTTATTGATCACATACAATCAGATGGGAAATAAGACGAGTGTTTTTATAGTCAAAATAAGTAACTTGTTAGAATATTATGATGTACGTGAATTGAATTGAAATAGAATTTTAAGATTATTTATTATCCTCTTCTGATTTGACTGGTTGGTGGTAATAATATCTTCCATGCATATCTCTGGTGTTTACGTTGAGTCATTTCTGTTGCATGTGTTGGGTGTAGATTCACTCTATGAACCAGGATTCAGTAATCAATCTCTCGCTCTCCCCATCTAACTAGATTACTTTCTAGAATTTTAGCCCTCTTTCACCCACTCTATTGTGTGATTGTGTGTTAATGCATACGGTGCAATCGCTGAGCTTTTTGCATGAATTAGGGTGGCATTCAAACCTATAAACTCACTCAGTCAGGACAACCTCTGTAGGCTAAAGGACCCGATGGACCCAATTCAACAAAATAATATAATTTACAAAATACCTTACAATGACTGTGACTAAGGTCAACTACATAGGTCAAACGGGTAGATGGCGGGGGTAATCAGATTGTCAGAACATAAGAATTTAGCTAAGGTGAGAATGGTTGACTCCGAGAAGATTAGTAATTTGGAAAAAAACTCAACAATCGCACTGCATGCATCATCACAATCACACAATAGGGTGGGACAGAGTCAAAATTCTATAAAGTAATCTATGTAGATGGAGAGTGAGAGGGATTGATTACTGAATTCTGGTTCATCCTGTAAATGAATCTACACCCAACACATGCAACAGAAATGACTCAACGTAAACTCCAGAGATATGCATGGAAGATATTATTACCACCAGTAAGTAGAATCAGAGGAGGATAATAAATAATCTTAAAATTCTATTTTGATTCAATTCACATATATCATAACATTCTAACAAGTTACTCGGTAGCACAGTGGTTAGGACTCCCGCCGACCATGCACATGGTCCGGGGTTCGATTACCTGCCGACGCACACCCGATATCTATGGTCGGCCTGTAAAATTTGGGCTACCGATATCCATGCTGAAAATTCCATACTTCTACCAAAAAGTACTGTGTGGAATCAAGCTGTAAACAAAAATAAATAATTAAAAAATAAAAAAATAAATTATGACTATAAAAACACTCGTCTTATTTCCCATCTGATTGTATTTGGTCGATAACACTAAATTATTATTTCTGAATGTACTTCACCTTATATTTAATTTTATTCAAACATCTAGTCAATTCCACTTATGAATCTAAATGAAGTAAGAAAGTTGTGTGAGGGACTTTATTTATTTATTTATTTAAACGCAGAAAAACTTGGTACAATATGGCACCAAGAAAGATGCGCCACACAATAATAATAAAACAACATAGATTAAAAGTAAAAATATAAGTAGAAAACGGGTAAAGAACTTCATCTGGAAGGAAAACAATCATGTTTAACAAGTTCAAACAGTATTCGTTAACTATCATCAGGAAGGGAAGAAAGAAGGAAATTGCAACACGTTCGCCATTGATTACGATTCTTGGCCATATCCGATAACGTTTCGAGCCATCGATTCGAGCTATCTCGCGGACCCCAACCAGGGAGTCGTGACACACCAACCGATGCTAATCTAGCACAAATATCCTTCATCCCACGACGCCACGTCATGGACTGACCACCCCTCCGCCTTTTCCATCCCGTCCCAGGACTAGCGAACAGAGACCTGTACGGAAGCCTCTGGGATGACATTCGCAGCACATGTCCAAGCCACCGGAGCTGGTGTGACTTAATATGATTATGAGCAGCCATAAATTGTGCTCAAAACGTGGTCATCATTAAATATTACTTACTGTGTAACACTGTGTGCATTACCAAAGCAAAATTTTATCCATAATGGAGCTATCTCCTCTTTACCCTTTCCTCAACAGTCGTCTTTATCTGCCTTCGTGGTTGCCTATAGACTCTTCTCTCCTCTTCACACGATCTCCTTTATGCCACTCTCCTACCGAAGCCAATTTTATGATTTCCTATTCAGATTCCACCTGAGAGTCTACTTGGTGTGTTACCTGACTCCGCAGCCTCCTCAGCTGATATCCTATCTTTCTGCGTTTTCTTCAGCATACTTTTCAGGAAATATATTCCCTGCTGGTTCGTTATGTGAGTTCTCCGTTACTTTCCTTTCTGAATAGTCATCCGATCTTTAGCACGGAGTCAGTGAAGGCAGCTGTTGAATCTTATAGAATCACTAACTTGACTTCAGCGATGGAAGTTTGATTCTTATTTCCTTATGTTGACCACAACAGATTTCTCGACTGATTTGAGATGTATGAGGGAATGTCTTACCTTTCCGGTCCTAATTGTCTTCCTAACATATATAGTTGACATCCTATTTTCGCTTCCATCTTGTTCTACCACCTCGCTGACTTTCACCTGTAGATCTTTAGGTTTGTGTAACATGTAAACCGTCACTGAAGTCCAAATCTTTCGGGGTATTCATATCGGTCTGAAGTATCTCTGGCTTTTCCCTCCTAACGGTCTACCACATGATGCAGTCCGCCACAATCAGCAGTATTACCAGTGATAGTAGGCAGCCTTGTATTATTACTGTATTCACTTCAAAGGCTTTGCAGAGTTTTATTTTGTGGATCACTTGACTTGTAGAATCGTCATATAGCTTTTGAATGAGGTTGGTAAGGGCTTATATCCCTCCACTGGGTCGAAAAAGAATCTAAACCACTTCGCAGTCAACACTGTCGAAGACTTTTTCAAAGTCCATGCAGTCTATCCTGCGATAATGTATATTGTTGACATTCACTTAGCATATGATTTAACTTCCCTGAACCCAGCATTCCCCAAAGTGAGTTTTTTACCCAGAGTGTCTTCTATTCTCTCCAAAATGATGCGACTTAAAACTTTGATTACAGTGGATAAGAGCATGATTTCCCGCCCCCCTCGCCGCCAGCTTTTGCAAAGGCTCAAATAAGCCTTCTTTGGCAGTTTTGCAAGGCAGTCATTCTTCTAATCGGTTTTAAGTAACTCTCCTTCTTTCCAAACTCCTTCTAATATTGGCGTGAGGATATCCACTAAGATCTCTGGATCCATTTTCGGGGGAAATCTTGAGAAATTCTGTTTCGTCCTGCTGCCTGCTCTCCTTTCAGTAAATTTATGCTATACTGTCCTCATTCTTTTCAAAAGTTAACATTGTACACATACCAACAGCATCCGAATCTCACTCTGCTTAATTTCGTAAATGTATGGCTTGTTACACATCAGCAGAAGTGATGTTTATTTCGAAATAGTTCAACCTACAGTTTGCAAAAGCCTATTTCCTGGATATCTGTGGAATTTAGGCAAAAAGAGTGTACCTACTTATAAGTAGTATAATTAGTTTTACATAAAATTTGAACAGAGTCAAATTGACCATGGTCCTCAACAAAAATTTGTATTCATGAAGTTGCGTGATGACTAACAGCAGAATCTAGGAAAAACCCATTGAGCCGTTATTTGAGACTGACTCGTTAGTTGGAAGCGGCCGCAATTCCTAGTGAGTGATGGTGTTCTAAATGATACTCGAACGCAGAAAATCATAGTTTCAAATGCTGAAGCATCCAAGATTCCATATTGATCTACAACTTTCATCGAAGGATCCACAACAACAGCAGACATATCAACACAGAGGCCGAACAATTAGCTCATGAAATTTCAGTCAACATCGCCTCATTTCCTAGACGGTCGTAAGAGCAGAAAAGGTGAAAAGATTGGGTGGGAGAACAGCCACCCTGTAACAACAGAAGACAAGGACCAGGCAACAGATCGTTTACTAAGGAAAATCAACACATATTTATAGATTTTAATGTACATTATTGTAGATTATTGTTATTAGAAAATGCAGTCTTTTGATTGGCTGTTTCTCACAGAAAGTTAACCTTGCATCTCTTTGTGGCTGCGTCAGATCATCCATATACCAACTGTACCCGCCTACGCAAAGCCTTTGTTCTCATTTTCTCACCACCAATGTTGGGGACATAAACATTGACGTCAATTACTGTCTACCAACTTTGACTAGCGACCAGCTCTCACCAGAACCCTACTCTGGAAAATCAAATCAGTCGCTAAAGGAATTTCAAATCACGCAAGAAGTATAAAAGTTAAACCCATTCATCGCCGGATACGGGGAGATTGAATGACGCGAGCTGGTGGAAGCCGATGAAAAATAATATGTGTATGGTGACGTGAAATGTTCTCAAAACGTCCAAAATTAGGAGGGTTACATCCACAGCGAAAGCCATGAGAGGATACTATTTGAAAAGGTTAGAAACCTGTGGAATGAAAGTGCACAGTCCACATAGTTAACCAAAGAGTCAGTAGTCTACTTCGGTCAACCAGACGGAAACCAGGAGCACATGCAGCTATAACACACAAGGGTAGATTACTCATTGTCCAAAAAATCTTCAAAAACTTAAAAACACGTGCTAATTAACACTTCATAGTGAATATAAATGACCACGAGGCTCAAAAATATGCCAGAAAAGAAGGATATTGAAAGGACGAAGGGTAAATAGACCGTAAAAAGATGTCGCTCGCTATGCAACTATCGCTGCGGAATTCAAATGCAAAACGACTGGATACACACGTGAAATAGAGGAACACATAGAAGAGATCGTGCAGGGAGAAGATGAAAGGACATAGGCATTCGACAACCTAGCTTAAGACGACGGATCAAAGGCAGATGCACTGTTGAAGACCAATGTTCCACTCGGAAACCAAGGGAATCATGATCATCAAATTCAAGAAAATTAAAACAAAAAAACGACACTGCTTCAAATTCAACGATGATTTACTTCCTACGATGCTGCGTCTGGCATTATCGTTGTATTGCCAAAAACGAATTCACAAAATCTCAGCTAAAAAACAGTAACTTAAACATAGTTGTCAAGCATCATATAATTTTCTTCTCTCTGTCAAAATGCTAAATTGGTACAGACACAAAATCATATAAAGTGTTCGATTTGAAAAACATATGAAATTATGAAAAAACAGAAAATATTTACGCACATTGGCGAGTGCGGAGGTGTTGGAACTAGGTCAAATTCCTCATCGATGCATCATTTATATTCACAAAATTCTTACTCCATCTCATGTGAAGTACTTCGAATGTGAAACGCTGCTATATATATATATATATATATATATATATATATATATAGGAGCTTCACCTCATAGTTGTCGTTTCAACAATTATTATTCTGCATAGATCACACAAATTAGACGAGATCAGTAAAGTAGCACTCAATAATTGGAATATCAGATTGTTTCTTCAAAGGAGCGTTTCACATTCGAAGTATTTCACATGAGGTGGAGTGAGAATTTTATGAGTATGAATGACGCATCGATGAAGAATTTGACCTAGTTCCAACACCTCCGCACTCACCAGCGTGTGTAAACATTTTCTGTTTTTTCATAATTTCATATGTTTTTCATATCGAACACTCTTTATGTGATTTTGTGTCTGTACCAATTTAGCATTTTGACCGGTAGTCGAAGTTTTCTAATTCTTGATATCGATGTTTAAGTTACTGTTTTTTAGCTGAGATTTTGTGAATTCGTTTTTGGCAATACAACGATAATGCCAGTAGCATCATCGTAGGAAGTAAATCGTCGGTGAACTTAAAGCAGTGTCGTTTTTTTGTTTTAATTTTCTGTTAATTGATGGTCATGATTCCCTTGGTTTCCGAGTGGAACATTGATCTTCAAAAATACTTCTGCCTTTCATCCGTTTCACTGTAGTCGTCTTAAGCTAGGTTGTCGAATGCCTATGTCCTTTTGTCTTCTCCCTGCACGATCTCTTCTATGTGTTCCTCTAATTCACGTGTGTATGTAGTCGTTTTGCATTTGAATTCCACTGGGATAATTGCGTAGCCGTTGATGTCACTGAACGGTATCTTTAACGTATATCCTTTACTTTTCCAATTTTGCTGGAATATTTGTTGGTTAGTCGGTTGATCATTCGTTCGCCTCCAGATTTCCTTGATGCTGATCCTTTGCAATAGTCTATCTGATCCTCGTTAATCGATCGAAGACCTGATTTGTTGATGAATGTCTGAAATGTTTTTTAAGCAGCCGGCAATAAATCTCGATTTCTATTAGCTCTATGTTATCCATGGTTGTAGAGTAGATTATTAACTCTCCAGTTTTAACAACTTCTAGGGTCCACTTTTATTCTCCATGCACTTCTGTACCATAGTTTTTCATCTGATTGGCAAACTAAGCAATCTTTTCGGTTTCAAACATTTTTTGCCAACATTCCATGTCCTGATGATTATTTTTGTTTTCATGGAAAGCAGGATCATTGCATAAATGGTTTCCCTGAAGGCTTTCATTAGCTGGTGTTATTTCATCTCCAAAGCCCGAGAAGACTGTGTCTAATTTTTTTGAATTTATGGACTGTTTACTGATTATATTATTATTATTGTTCCCTTGGATTCCCAGTGGAACATAGGGCTTCAACTGCACGCCTCCACTTACTTCTGTCTTCTGCTGTATTTTTCACTTGCATCTATGTCAGTCCATACTGTTTCAACTCTTCTTCTCACGATCTCCTCAATGTCACCCTTGGACGTCCCACTCGCCGATTCTCTTTCGGGTTCCACTCGAGCACTGGCCTGACGCGCGATGTCACCCAGCGGCCTCCTCCTCAGCGAGTGTCCAATCCATCTCCACTTTATTCTGCATATTTGTTGAGCGATTGGTTCCTGTTTCGTTTGTTCCCATAGCTTCTTGTTTGTGATTCTTTCCGGCCATCTAATCTTCAGTGTGGAGCGAAGACAGTTGTTGATAAATGTCTGCAACAGGCTGTTGGAAATATTCTTTGTGACCCGCCAAGTTTCTGATCCATCCGTATAGAAGAACTGACTGACTTGAGGTTTGTATTGAAAATCCGAATCATTTTGTTGTTGATGCTGAGGAGTGACGAAGATTTCCAGATTGGTTTCAGGTTGATGAATGTGTTTCTCGCCTTCCCGATTCTCGATTTGACATTCTCGTCCGTTCCTCCTGTAGTTGAGACAATGCTCCCTAGATAAGTGAATGAAGTAACCTCTTTCAAATCCCTCCCGTTGATGGTGATTGGCGCTGGATGTTGCTGCTGTTGTTGTTGTTGGTTGGTTATTTTCATATTCTCCGTCTTGTCTATGTTCACCTGGAGTCCTGTCTTCTCTGGCTGCTTCTTCGACCAGTTTGTCGGTTTTTGCTTGTAAGTCTTCGATTTTGTGTGAAATCAAACATAAATCATCCGCAAAATCCAGGTCTTCTAGGTTTTTCACGTCGGTACTGTTTACTGAGCTAAGGACAATTTTGTCTATAAATCTATAATTAGATTCTACGGTTATGTATCTATGATAACCAAAGTATTATTTTCATTAACAATATAAATATTTTAAGTAGCATCGAATCTATAATAAGGACAGATTTCAGTTGAATTGGATCTGTAAGTACTAGTATGCCTCAGTACAACTCTAAATTGAATATGTCCGACAAACGAAAGAAAATAAGTCAGTCATTGGTTTAGCGATAGAATGCTCGTCAGCCATGCATGTGGTCCAAGGTTCTAACCCCGACTGCAGCAACGCTTTACCTCACCAAACTGGTATAAAAACCGGTGAAGACGGAAGGTTTGGAATGGGGCTCGCGACCCCACCTCATAAAAATTCAACACCAATGCTACCGAAACTTCAAAGTGTGTAACAGCAGAAGACGAAAGACATGGCAATTTTGTATCTCTCTATAGAAGTAAATTATATACACCTTATCTTCAACTCACCATTTGCACAAATCGTCCATGTTCTGCTACTTCTGCCCTTCCTTCATATTGTATTTTGTTGTGATCCTTTCACGTCTCCCACGTATCTCCACAAAGCTGTATCATTTGCTTTCTCTGACATTATAACCGTCTTGATTAGACACTGATGTCATGCGAATCAAGTCCTCTGCTGAGTGCAGACTGAATTCTATCAGTCAAGTTTGTAATGTGATCAGCATACCACTAGGTGGCTCGCCATCACGGTGCACTTTCAATTGGTGTCAACAGATGACTGGAGACATTCGGCAGAAACCATTGGACCTAGGTTTCGTGCTTTTTGGCTGTCACTTGTCAACAAGTCGTGCGAGTAATCTTGAAGACACTCATAGGCAATATGCGACCCGCGGAGTTCGAACCCAGGACTTTCCACGCAGCTACTGGGACATGATTTAACTCCGTATGAATTCAAACTTCTGACAATTTGCAACCGCCAGTCAGTGTCGTCGGTGAGTATCTTTCCTCACACCGCAACTAATGGAACTAATGGACCAGTGAATCGCGTCCTGGGATCAAATCCCAGTTGACGCATACTACCGACGTGGGATCCCAAAGTAGGACGAAACAGTCGTCCAACACTCCCTGATAATCTTCAATGGTACTCTAACTAATATTGATCCGTGATCAAAGTTTAGATAATTACGAAAACCTTTTTTATAATAATGAACATCATATATTTTAACTTTCTCGATAATTTATATGTATATATACTAATCTTAAGAACTTGCTTTTTCTCTATTAATTTCCCTCCCACCCCTTTCAACAATACCTACTTGGATGTATTAACAACAATAATAACTGTTCAATGAATACACTTCGGTTACATCAGAAATAACATTGATGCGACGTTTCTGTGCTACAGAAGGTGCTGAACCCGAAGAAGTCAAATGTGTTAATCGTCATTCAGAAGGCGGTTTCTCTGAAATTTGTATTTGTGGTAGTGATAATTGTAATTCTGCACCCCAGTTGTCAATGAAATCAACTCCTTTCACTTACTTTCTTCTATTCTCCTTTCCATACATATACTACTTAATAACTAAATAGAGTAATATATATATACATAAACTATATCTTGTTGTTAGTAGTATTATAAGTAGTATCTATCTCTACACACATACATACACACATATATTCATTACTGAGAGAATACGTCAGTCAGGTTGAACAGTATAACTGTGAATAGATGAAGATGGCCATGGGGAGCGAATTTTTGATCCCATGAATACAAAGATCCCCATAAACACACCCACACACACACACTATTCATAGATTGCAACACAGCTGATAGTATGTATCTTTTGCTCGTTACTCCACTTTTTCTCATTCTCAACTGATTTGCGCAAAAGTTTAAAGTGACTGGGAAATATAAAAGAAACTTTTGTTTAAATGCATACTCTATGTTGTTATTGCTATTATTGTTATTACTATTATTATTATTGATTCTTGTGTTGTCTTTTCTAGTGCATTTATATACCATTTTAGTCTAAATCTATTACCTTCATGTATACTTACTTATATGTGTACACCATATGTAACATGTTATAAAGTAATATCAGTAGTATATATATATGCGTAGAAATTTCGTTTGTTTTTTATTCGATCTTTTCATCAGATCAGTGTTAGTTTTGGTAGCCACCATTTTGATATTTAGGTGTTGTTTCACAAGAGAATTTGACTGGTTACAGGATTTCATCGTAAGCAGACATCAGTTGGAGAGAACCATTGGAAAACTGCCAGAGAGTACTGGACTGCTAGCTGTTTCGTCAGCCTAGTTTGAGACTCTGCTTCAATAGTACGCACCTACAACCAGTGTTTGAACTCAGGACCTTCCGGTTAAAAGGTAGGGTCGTAGACCATTACTCAGCTTCTGAGACCCAATCCAATGGCCATAGCATGAATGCAACTTCTGGCAGTTGACGGTAGAACGCGACCACTAGCCAATGTCACCGCTGGCGAGTATATTTCCCCACACCCGACCTGCTGTACTCCACTGGTCACGACTTCTCACTAGAACCCAGGTAACTCTACCTATCTGAATAGGGCCAGTCTGTATTTATAGAATAAATGTGTTGTAATTAATTAGAGAACCACTGAAGAAACCACCAGTCCTAGTTTAGGACACCTTGGTGATACGCATGCATAACTCTACTCAAAAGTTGACCATGGAATGTCGGGTTTAGAATCACGTCCGTAGAACATTAAGCTAATGACCTATGTGCATTCTAACTTCTGTCATTTGACAATATAAAAGAAAAGGCGTTCAACAAAGAGTTACTATTTATCAGCCAGATCATCCTCAAGTTGTACAACCGCATATGTGCACAGTAAAGTATCTTAGCGACAAAAAGAATATTTCAAAAATGTATGCTGCTAGAACTGTAAGTTTTAGATGAAAGTTATGTAAAAAAGAGTGTTAAGAATGCAGAAACTAAAACTAAATAAAACAAGTAAACTGAGTGACATAATGACAGCGCCATCCTGGCGAGAATAAAGGATGCACTGGATACAGAGCTCCACCCCAACGGAACAAGCTAGATTCAGGAAGGGCAAATCACGTCCTGATGGAATTGCGGCTCTAAGCGTCCTCATCACAGAACAAAGGATAGAATGGCAGTCAAACCTCTACCTCAACCTCCTCCATCGACTTTGAAAAGGCCCTTGACAGCGTCGCCTAAGATGTGATTTATGAACCAATTCAACACCACGGACTAACTAAATTCTGTATCAACCTCATTCAACAGCTGGCTATATGACAATGTCAGATGTCAGGTAATCCACAACGAAAAACTCACAGAAGCCTGCCTTTGAAGTCTGCCTATTATCATCTATGACACTCTTAATTGCGGTGGACTGGATTATGCGTAAAACTGTGCATGGGAAGTGAAAAAGCAAGAATACACTAGACCACCGATAAGAAGACTCTAGAAGGTCTGGATTTTGTGCGTGGATGATTAATGTTTAATATCACACACAGAAACAGGAAGACTTGCAGGCGAAAAACAACAAACTGGCGGAAAAGGCTTGCAGTCAAGACAGAAATCTAGGTGAACATGGAGAAGATAGAGGTGATCAAGATAGCTAACCGACAGCAACAACAACCAGCACCAGTCACTATCAACGGAAGAGGTTTAACAGAGGTTACTTCCTTTACTTATCTAGGAAGCATAGTTTCAAATACAGGAGCATGGCACGGATAAAGATGTCAACACCAGCCACAATGGATCGGAAAGGCAAGCTATGCCTTCATCAACCTGAAACCAGTTTGGAAATCCTCTGCATTCAACATAAGGAATTAGATAACTTGTTGCTGACATCCACTAGTTAATTGTTTGGATGACTTTTATTCTCCTATTTTCACCACACCCTCCACACCTGTCCTTAAAACTGATAATTGTTATGCCCCAAAATAACCACATGACTGGTTCAATTTTCATGTGAAAACGACGATATACATATGGTGAGCAGCTATATGAAAAGGAATGAATATTTCTTCTCCTTATCTCTTCTAAATGTGTGTTTTAGATTTCTGTGGCTTGAAGCTATCCTTCTTCCGTTTCGTTCGTTGAAATATAAGTAACTGATTTGTTTCAGTGTTTCATCATGAACTGACATCGGTTAGAGGAAAAATAGAATACTACTGGACAGCTGTTTCCTCCGTCCTAGTTAGGGAATCATTGGCAGTATACACCCACCGCCAGGGTTCAAACTCAGGATCTTCCAGTTACAAAGCAAACTGGCTCGTGTACCATTGAGCCACTGGGACCCGATTCAATGGCCAACCCATGAATTCTAACTTCTACTAATTCGTGATTTAGCGCGACCACCAACTCCAGTAGTGGAACATCTGTCGTCACACTTGACTGGGTGGACCTCACTGGTCACGAATTGGTAGAAGTTAAAATTCATGGAGTGGCCATTGAATCAGGTGCTGCCAGTGGCTGACCAATGGTATACCAGGCAGCTTGCCTTGTAACCGGAACGTCCTGGGTCAGAACCCCGGTGGAGTGGGTGCGTACTGCCGATGATTCCCAAACTGGGCTGACGAAACAGCTGTCCAGTACTCGAGTGCTAGTTTACAATGGTTCTCTAACTGATATCAATCCGTGGTCAAACTCGTAAAAACAAATCTAATCCTTACAAACCAACTGTAGAAAGTTATTATTATTATTTGATCCACAAAATCACCGTCATTGGTTAAATTCTGTTTTTTATATATAAATCTATGTAAATTCGAGTACAGCCTGAAGAAGAGGATCTAATTGAAAACAACAATATTTTTCGCTTTTATGTGTGTCTTGTTCTAATATTCCATTGGTGTCAAAATTGCTGCATCACGGAATACCGCCTTATAATCCAGATTGATACTATGGTTAAAAGCATTTTCCCCTATTCGCTAATATCCAACAGAAGCTAAAATGTACTGAAAGCAACAAGATACGTTTCGCTCGTCACACTGCCGTGATAACAGAAGCCAAGACTGTTGATGCCTAAAATATGAAAGGGTGGTTAATAACTGGGGGTTTTTTTCATACCTCTTCGTCCCAGCAGACGGCATTACCACCCTGAAGTTTCAGTAGTCATTGTGATGTTAGCGTCAGGCTTACTACTGGATGGTACAGTGTAGACGAGGCTTACGAGTCTGTCTGTCCGTCAACTGGGAACCAAACCTGCACCTCCCCCTCCGCCTATGACAAACCGTCGAGCCTCTGGCTTGGCTGTCAAGTAGTCTACTAAGGTGAGAGCTGTCTGCAAACCAAAAATTCTGGACAACAGTTTACGTCAATGTTTACGTCCCGAATTGGGGTCACGAGTAAAAAACACAATAACAAAGCTTAACGTTGAGACAATCACCAGCCAATCACTACAGACTTAAAGTATGCAAATACGATTCGTAGATATATGGCTTAACTTTCTAAGAAACGGTCACAAGTAGTACAGAATAACATTGAGCAAGAAAACAACAACCTGTCAGAAGACGTAGCTTCTCTACTGACAATAATGTACTTAAAAATCTATAAATATCTCTTGATTTTCTCAATAAACGATTTGTTGCCTGGCCCTTGTCTTCTGTCGTTACACTACTACTGAATGTCCAACACAGTCTTGTGTCTAGTGATATGGGCTATTGAGAAGATAGATGGTAAACAACTGAGCTGTGAAATATATTCTAGAAATCTTACTAGAGAATACCAATAAGCATTTCTGAAAGTTGTCAACGGTTTGGACTCGACATTCATCTGAGGCTTATGTTCTCCTCTTGACTTCTACGCTGGTAGGCATTCACGGGCAAGTCTTGACAATTTCTTGTTGGTATGGCCGACTATATATTAAACTTTACAGGAGCAGATGAACTGGCAAACAGACATTGAAGGTGCCAACATCTGGATGTTTTCTCTGATGTTTTGGCACACAATAGCTAGTGCGAAGAAGGTAATGCGTAGAAATGTGGTAAAGAAAGTTCTTCCGTTTACTGTAGAAAAAGGATTCGGGGGATTTCACTGATCATACCTACCTTGAATTTCGGACCGGCAGTGTTTCTCGATGAAGGAACGTCATATGTATGTTGTACCAACTAATAAACTGTAATTACATTTTCTCCAGATTAGATTTCGCCAATGGGATCGATTCAACCAACATACAGTAATCTGCATACGGGTCCAGCAAGATAGAAATGACTGTTATCAACAAAGGTGACTAGAAAGCCGATACTGTCAGTAGTGATGATGTCAAACAAACATTCAATGAAGGATAATGAACTTATTGACAATGGGAGTACACCACCTCAGCCTTTTCGGATTCTTAGGGTTTCCATAGACTTGAAAAAAAAAACGTGGAGAGTTATTTCACTAACCGGATAACTTTTTTTTTCCTTCACGTTCCCCAGTGGAACATAGGGCTTCAAGCTAGTGGCTTCAAGTTTCTGTAGCAGTGTTTATTTTACAGGATGGGGTTGCTAGCCTCATGCCCAACCTTTCCTCTTCACCAACATTATTTATGGCTTAGCGAGCGAGGTAAAGGAGTGCTTCGGCCGGGGATCGAACCCC